TGTTTTGAGATAAAATTGACAGTTTTTTCCTAAAGAATTTTTCCTTTATGATGAATATAAAACATGTTTTCATTTTTTGATTAGAGTTAATATATAACATTAGCAATTGCTATATTGAATGATTTTTCTTAGTAGAGAAAATTAGTAAAAGCAAAATTTTTGAATAAGTACCATTTGCTTCTGGTGGGATATGAAGCCCCATAAGCCCCCTACCCACTCTTGGCTTCACCGTTCAAAGATTTCGTTCAAAGATTTTGCAGTGCACAAAACATTGATCCAATATATCTATTATCCAATCCTAATGAAATAACAGTCTGATGGAGTAAGATCATTATCTTTTCATCCAACAGTAAATTTTATATATATTTTTTCAACTCTAGTAATAGTGGCCCAAAATACATATTGTCTGATTGTGATGGATTGACTAATGGTATATAAAAAACCAAAAAAACATTTTAAGACACAACAAGGAATATGGAGGAAATGGACAACCCCCACAGAATCAAATCATTTCAGGAGGGCTTCATGCCATCTAAAACTACCTAAAGCAACCCAAATAACTGCAGATGAAGACTGATATAAAGGAAATTATACATTTTAAAACCACATCTGTAATTGATTTCTGATTTCTGTAATGTAATAAATGTATTTTACTTTGTATATTTCCTTTTGTAATAATTACTCGGCATAGCTACAAACATTTCAAAAATTGAGGACTATATCATGCAAGGACAGAAAATGTGTATGACTCACATAGTATTAAAAAGGACTGCCCAAAATGTGAGTGAACAAAAATTAATGAAAGATACAACAGGACAAAAGTGTTTTAAGGCTTAAATGACAATTGGACGAACTGGAGACACAATAACCTTTTCAACAGTTTAAAAAGAAAGTTGAAGTTTTACATTTGCAATTTTTGAAAATTCAGAGATTTTACATCTTTTGTCTTTATTTCAAGAATAGTTCTGCAAAACAAATTACAATGACGAAAAAAGTCTTTTTCTTCAATATTATAGCTTTAGGAAGACTGAAAAAATGTTTAACTTTTACTAAGTCAAAAATGCAAAGAGATCATTGAAAAACTTTTTTGAAAATGCAGAGAGTGCATTGAAACGGGACCTGCGTCATTTTCATGAGACACTCTGCTCTATTTGGGAAAAAGATTTAAAGATAAAAAAAATTGGATATTTTTGAGAAAATCGTATTTGTCTTCATTACATATTCCAAAACTATGCATATTTTCAACAAAAAAAAAATTGCACCTGACTTTATTTAAAGCTCTAACTTTCATGAGCAGTTTTCATTCTGGAAGAAAAAAAATCTCTTTCTTCAATACAGCAGTTGTAGAACAGCACCGAAACAATTTTGAACATTTGCAATTTTCAAAAATTCAGGCATCAACTAAAATGGGGCCTGTGCCATTTTGCTTAATGTTAAATACCCCCACTGAATCAAAATATCAGTTCAAATTCTTAAGATGGGCCAAATCGATCAGAAAATGTTAATTTTCAAGAAAATTGTCTGAATAGTGTTGTCCACTGACCGACGGACGGATGTAAACCAGTGTGCAGTATCAATGATCCATAAAACATGGATTCAGACTACACAACCTACTAGAGGAAGTGATTTACAATATATGAAATCGTCACTTTTCGCTGCAGCGTTACAATATTTTCTTTTTACTATGCAAGTACAAAGTGGGCAAGAAATTAAAAATTACTATGCATATTTCTGTTTTATTAAATGAAATATTTTGGATAAATTAAGTTCTAGTAGAATAACATGTTAGCACTTTCATATAAAACTTAGCAACATCTTAATTTATTGATTCATTTTTTATTGAAATGCTATATTTCAATACGTTATTGATGTTAATTAATGCTTCATCATTTCAGAATTTTTAGGGTTAATATTGTCTACTTTCCTAGTCTGGAATTGATCATCTAAACCAAGTGCAATAATGCACAATGTGCATTTATTCTTTAATTAAAAAATAATTGTGAAATTAGGGAATTTATTAAGAGGTATCATTACAAAATTAATTTTTATTTTAAAACATATAAGATTAAATCAATGCTGGGGTCCCACACACCTCAGTGTAACCTTTAAGTGATAAAATGGAATGTGTAACCATGCAGGGTTAAAAGACACCCAATTTATTTATAGCAAGTATTTTGTAATTATTAGTTAAATAAAAAATTGATGTAGCCCTGTGCATTGCAAAATATTATATAACCTAAAATAAAGAGATAGGATTTTTTTTTGGATCAAGTGCTAGCTTCATCTATCAATTTCTTTTATTCTCCATTTATATCAGATGTATGTTATCATTATCATGTGGTTAGGAAATTTATTTGTATGGACCATTTTAGAGATGTGGACTTTGTACTCAAATTATCTTATCACTAGAGAAACGGATTTTCATGTAAATGCATACTTTTACAGGAATAAGATGTCATCATTCAACAATTTTTTTAAAAGTTTACAAGATATACTGAATGAATTAGAGCCATTTTAATTTTAGACATTTCCGTATTAAATATTTTACCTAAAACTACACATTTCTAACATATTCTACACTCTAACATTCTACTACATTCACACTTTGAAAAGGAACATTTCAGGCACAATATACATTACTGAAATCATATTTCTTACAAAGAAATTTTAAGCTACCGCACTTATACAACCACCAGACCTTCGCCATGAATTGTCAAACTTATCCCCATCCCATCCCTTCTTCTTGGAAACTGTGACCTTGGAATCAAGGATATGCAAATGTTTGTGAAGCAGAAGTAATTTCAACCATCCACATGCTTGCTCAAGAAAACTAGGGCATAATTATTTCAGTATATATATAGAACTATCATTCAGTTGCTCCACACCCATATTAAGACCTAATTGATGACATTCTGTGCATCACAAATACTTGTATAGAGCAGTTTTAAGAACTATAATAAATTTTTATTTTACACATTTTTTATTTTTTTCTTTCACATTTTGGACAAAAAAAAGGTACATACATATGTACATACTTTGCTTTTTTTATAACAAGTTCCATTCCATATTACACAATGAAAATCTTATAAAACCAAGGTACAACTTACTAACAGTACACTTACCCCACTTTCAAAATCCATAATGAGAACCCAGTTTCGATCTAAGCGCATTTGCATTTTCTGTGACCAAATTCCATTGGATTTTTCTAGTTGTAGTAACTTCCTCATGCCATCAGCAGGATAGACAATACCTGTCTCCTTCGAAACTGTGAATGTGGCCAAATGCTCCATGACATAGGTGGGTGTATCTTCACCCACCACACTCTGTTGGCCATCTGCAATAATGATGTTTGCAGTCAGAAAACACAGGTAAATAATACACTGCCTTCATAATCACTTTTGGGAAACTTCAGAAATGATATACTAATTAGTACAGTAGAAAACTGAAACTAACAACTGACACTTCTTTGCAATCGACTTCTTCTATGATTTTGTACAACCATTATGTTGAGTCACCACACAGCTAAAACTCTCCAAAGATGCTCGTAGCATATGCACTGAACTTCAAATACCACTGATGTGAGCCTTCACACAACTTTATCCGAACATAAAGACAGCTGTCAGCACTATTATCTGATGGAAGCAGTTTACTGGCAAGATAATCCTTAGAATGATAAACTGCCACTCAATAAAACCAACAATCAACCATAAGTAATAAAAACTTGAAAAAAAGGTGACAGGAGAATTTTGTAAGGTATAGATTTAAATGTTCTGCACATCAATGTCAAAATAATTATCATAAGAGGTACAATTAGGGGTAATATTCAACAAATATGTTTAGACTACAAGATTGAGCATCCTAGATTTATAAACTCTTCACTTGTAAATGATGGCTTCATATTTCCACAGCACACTTATATCATCTTTGAGAGAAGATGGGTTAAGATATGGGTACTACTGCTTTTATCTCTCTGAAAATAGAGTGGAGCACATGACCAAATCTTGATATCAAGGCAAACTAAAAGATATTTTGCAATTGCAGAACTCCAGAACCAGCATCCCAGAGATAAATCGTTTTCATTCGCTTTTACTCTAAATAATAAAGATTAACGATTCTCTAAAGAATTCTAAAATAATAGGCAACAATACTTTCCTCCTATTTTATTGTCTTTCACTCAATTGAAAGTTAAGGACTTCAGAAGATCTGAATTTTTATAAATATAAAATTTTAACTGATAACTAGATGGCTTTCAATATTATTTAATATTCAATTGTCACTGTCCTGTCACCTGATTGGATTGAGTTGCAACACAGTAAATGTTTGCATGATATGACCTTGTTACTGTGTAAGAAATGTGTTTTAATAATTACTTAGAACAAATTTAATATTATTTAGTTGACACAATACCAGAATATAGCAAGTTTGTGCAACTTTTTTTATTAAAACTGACTTGTGTAAAATCGCATAATCTAATACTCTTTTTACAAAAAACCTTTGAACATCATATGGTAATTACCTGTTGAGTATCCATTAGAATGGACACTAGATCGATGATATGGTAACATGTCGGATGGATTTTCAGAATATGTACTGAAACAAACAAGCAAATAAAAAAAAAATATTAGTTTCTTTTATAGTATATCATTTTACTATATATTGTCTGGCCCTACAAATTAAAAGAAATTAATTCATTAATTAGGTCATTTCACATTTAAAATATTTCACACTTCTAGTTACTTTCAATTAAGCGAGAACTGCCTCCAATAAGGAAACTTTAAACATTCATTTTGAAATATTTTACAGAAAAGAGCATTCGCCTTAAACAAAAATTAAATACGAGAGGTCAAAACTTGTTTTGCACATTTGCGTTTATATTCAAAATAACTATTGATCTCTCACGCTTTCTTTTCTCTATGCCTCATCTAACAGGATTTTCACAAAGAAAAATATTTTTGGATGTGCAAACCATAACATAATACTATATGCAAACCGACACCATCCTATCCATCATTCGTCATAGTTACTCACCAATGAAACAATAGACATTAGTCCGTTCTAATTTTCCCAAAGAATCTCAACTGACATGTCTCACGTGTATTTGAATTCAAACATGCTCATCTGGCTGACCAGCAGAATTAGAGGAAAACCTTACAGAGGCAGAGTAAGGCACCAACATTCTCGCTCCAAATTCGCGCTTCCTTGGTTCGAACGCGCTCTTGCTTGGTTGCAGCTTGGCAGAGACCCTAACGTGAGACAGGATATACAGCGACAATGTTTGCGAGAAAAGTGGGACGCAGTAATTACCGACGTACAGAAAGGTAGTGAACTTTTTCTATTCACGCTAATACGGGACAAATTCTCATATTGATTCGGCCCACCGTCGAGGCTTCATACAAAACACCATTTCTACATGTACGAGAACCGTTAAAGTTACAAAAACCAAGGAGGAAAATACCAAAACTCATGGATAAGAAGATTATCATTTCAGCTCAATTACCAACCGATGAAGTATTGAAATTGTCTGAATAAAACTGTGAAATAAGTGGATAAGATGAGACCCCATTTGTAAAGTAGTGTCATATTTCTTGGGTGCAATTTCTTTTCTTCTTATTTTTTTTATTTCCTTCCAAATTATTACATTTCTCATTCTCGAATTATGTATATTATTCCAAGCTAGATCAAATTTCTGTGGTAATGTACTATAATAAAAAGTATGGAAGTGATCTGAATGTCCCGAATTCCAGGTCTCGGGAAGTTTCTTGGAAGGGTCAGATTTTCGACAACAAAAATAGCACTTCTCATTTCCTCGTCTATAACAAAATATCATAAAGAACGAAAAGGAAAGGAAACAAAAGAAAGAAAAAAGAAAGGAAAGGAAGAAAAAAGGAAGAAAGGAAAACGAGATTAATGAGTAAGTAAAGACGTCATCCTGACATGAAGACAACCAACGTCGCATCTGTTACTTGTAACCATTGGTCAGGTCTGTTCGTGACGTACTACAGGCCGGATAGTGAAATACATGTAAAGTCTTTTCTCGATTCTTTATTCCGATTTTTTAAACTTTCTATTACACGTTCTGTATTACTTTTTACGTATTTAATGCGAGTCCAAATACCGTTTTGTACCATAAAGCATTAACAAAATCCGTCCCCCCGCACGTGCATGTGTCCGCAGTACTAGTTCTAGCATCACTAGTAGAAATCTGTTTTTTTCTCTTTGTCGGAACCTTAAACCTATATGTAGAGTTTTTATCCAAGACATATTCAAGGAAAGTACAAGAATACTTTGTATCAGTGGCGTAACGTTCGGGTCCGCAATGCGGGCGAGCCTAGGTCTACTTTTAGGCTGAAGGTTTTGCGATTTTAAGAAATGTAAACTACTTGATACTTTCTATGGTACTTTGCGATAATTAATGCAATAAAATATTTTTAAAACTTCCAGAAGAACGATTTTTTTCAGCTTCGCAAGCTTATGTAACACTGCTTCTTAATCAATAAAGGTAAGCAATTAATTTAAGTTTTATGACGGTCTTAATTTCATTAAAATAAACAATAAAGGCAGATTTTTCTACTATTCGTTATTAATGAGAGACTGATAAATATGAATTTGTTAAAGGATATTTTTATTATTTATGACCTAAGTGTTTGCTGTACACTTCCATAAAAGGAAGCCAGATAAAAGTTTTGTGGGCGGGCATGCATTCATTTCATTATACTACTGCTTTGTATTATTAAAAATCACCAAAAGGTAACTTGGTACATGCTGATTGATGTTTTGTTACTGATGTGATTAATTACAGTTTAAAGGGTGCTTCAATAGCTATGTCAACCGCTATGTTAATTAGCCGCGTTACTGTAGTGAATGTTTTATCCCAGTAGGTGACGTTCCTCCCCGCTTGATGGTGAGACCCGGCGCCGACCTACACGCCGCTTTTAGGTGGATTACGCCTAGAGGTATCTTCTGCAGCGGAACACTGCTCCAGTTGGGACAGTCTAAGAGCTACCGACGGGTGGCCCGATATTTGCCGTGGTGTGGAGAATGTGCGTGCGTAAGGGGAGAGAATAGGGAAGCCGAACGCGCGCGGTCCGTCATTAGCTTGTCAGTGTCGCCCGGTATTAATCGAAGAAACCACGGAAAAATCCCGATTAGTGCAGCAACTAGAATTCTCTTTCACAAAGTATCTATACGAGGTCAATCAAGCTAGTGTGAATATTCGCCACCATCGGGTGGCGAACCCCAGTCAGAGTACCTGCAGTGATAACGGTAATGCTGGCTCTGAGCTAACGCAGCCGGTTTGTGCATTCGCGTTTTGACACGATCAGACCTGATACTCTGGCATTGTGATGTGTCAACATAGAAATGAGGCTGCGAGTCTGTAGGAATATCATTAGTGAAATATAGAAAGTATTGTTATGTTCGGGGCCAATATTGTTATGTTCGGGGCCGATATTGTTATGTTCGGGGCCGATATTGTCATGGAAATATACATTTTGGGATCCTTGAAGCCGAAAACGCTTCTTTAAACGTCCGTCCGTGAACAGCATTAAACCAGGTCTGCGCATTAAGCTGGATTGAAGGCATCGTGGCACGCAAAATACTTGTGGCATTTCCTAGCCTCCTCTGCTCCAGTAGACCTTTAAATAATGTATTGTATTTTTTTTTAAACGCGAGTAGTTATTTGATGCAACAATTTATTTGATGCACGAGGCTCCCACACTTCCAGCGCCTCTTCCATGTCTTCAGTTTGTATAAAAGTCATCCCGAGTAAGAGGTATGTTTGTAATTTCACTGGAAGTTAATCGGCTTTATTGTCAAAGAAAAAGAAAAAAGAAAAAAAATAAGAAAAAAAAGAAAAAAGAAAGAAAGGAAAAGAAATAACTTGTTCGCGGCGATGTCAATACTTTACTGACTAAGCTTTTCGGACATTCATGACAATTACACTTCAACATTATTACTTGTGTAAGGGTACAACTTCTTTGCTATCACGCAAGTTTTTGTGTCAAAACGAGAGATACCTGAGTTGATCGTCCCAGTGATGGTCTGGAGTGACTTCTGGAACTCCCGGCATGGCTCTGGACTACGCCCCCAGCAGGGCTGTGGACCTCTGAAAACAAAAAAAACAAAAAAACGTCACCGTACATTCAGACAAATACACATATTATTAATAGAGTTTATTCCTTTTGATGCAAGAGTCGGATGTGGAAGTAGACGCTCTATTTTTTTTTATTGGTGTCCATTGCCGAGGAGCAGTAGGTAGGCGTATTACGTTTCGGGTGTATTCAATCAAAGGTTCTGGCATTGTCAACAACTGAATATTGACTAGCCACCGCAAATTTATCAATTCAATAGATATTAATTAAAGTTCTTTCAAGCACAGCGAGAATGCTTTGAGTTTCTCACTAAATAAGATTGATGGGCGTTTCCAGGCGTCAGCTGTTAAGGCCATTAGTTCAATTAGTGCAGTAAATATTGTCGCGGAAGATGGCAGTGCCTCTCTCCCTCTGGATGGTGAGATCCGCCGTTGGCCTCCCCCTTGCGGGGAGTCCCTCCCAGGAATTCCTCCCTCCGCGCAGGACAACGCCACAGCCACGGCTACTTTTAAGCTCCCGACACATGCGGTAGTATAGTTTATTTAAGTGTGTGCGAGAGCATGACTTTTCAATATTTAAACTAATCAATACACGAAGTTTTTACATTAAAAAAACAAAAAACAAAACGGCAAAGCCTTTTATGGTATTAGAGTCCATCCTGACTAGGGGAAACGAAAACAAAATGTTAATTTCTTTCCAATTCATAACAATTTCACTATAATTATGTCCATAACAATTAGTGTAAGGAACTTCTGAGTCAATGACCCCGCATCGATTGGGTTTTCGTTGAAGTTCCCTTGATCAATTGAGGAAAAGCTGTGACGGTCCCTTGCCCATATTTATTTATGTATGTATTTACTTATTTATCCTCAAAAACAGTTCAAAACTCTGTGATGTAATACGTTGAGAAGTCAATTATGCGCAAGTTTTCTTAAATTCTGGTATCCCTAACCCATATAGAAATTGACTTCTGAATACTGATGTAAACGAGCGTTTTTAGCACAAGAATTGACAGGGAAATATTCGCTCTTGTGTAATAAAAACCTAAAATCCGCGAGAACCTGGAGAACGATTATTAGAATAACTATATTCCCCACTGAATCCTAGAAAACGTGCACAGATAGTAAAGTTTCATTTATGTCCAAAAGCAAACCAAGGGGCCATCCCAGCATTTGCTCAAAAGATCCGGGACAAAAAACCTGATTGATATGGAGTCATTGACCCAGTAGCTGTGATACAATACTCTTTACAGACCTTGCTTATGGATATTTAGATTGAACTTTTACCCAGCTCATAAATGACTGACACCTACTAGACCTGGTTTGTCATAAATATAGTTTTTTTTAAAACTCTCATCAATAATATTTCTATTATAAGATATGATCATAGCAATCCCTCCTAAGAGTGTCTATGGGACAAGTGGAATACTACTTAATAAAATACTTTTACTAGAATTCAACAAGAAAACCAAAGCAAGGACAGAAGCCTTCTACAACCATTAGCATGTCTGGAATCAAAAAGAACAATGTAATTCGTAGCGAAATGCTATTTTCTCCACAGACCTCCCAAATCCTCCCTTTCAACGTATTATGGAGATTTCAGTAAAATTCCAGATTTTTTCTATTCGAAATAGATTAACAAGGAAAAGTAGCATATCATAACACACGAATATTTGGATTCACATTCTTGAAATTGGCCATAATTCTTGGAGTTCCGTCAAACGGGTGTCACAAGTTATAATAAAAGGTATTACTATATCCATTTTGAGCAAACATAATATCAATATTTTCTTCACGGTATAAACTAATACAAATACGTTTTTATAAACATTTACTTAATTAAAAAATAAGCAAACTAGATGAAATTCGTGTGATAAAGGTGTGTTTTTATTAGCTTTTACTTTTTATTAATAGACGTTCTTGGTTCTTTTGGAATAATGGTCTGTTTTAGTAGATTAACACTAGGCGACAATATTTTGAACAAGGATTCTCTGTGTGTGCCTGGTTCCTTTTGCTCTAATAAATCATTTTCTAAAATAAAGGAAATCCAATGGTATAATAGTCCTGAATTATTTTTGCGGTCAAAATATTGATATATTGTTTTTATATTTTTTCCGATTTTTGCCTAAATTTTGTCCTATCAAAAATGAAGAAAACGTTATTTTTAAAACAAATGAGATTACAATTTTTTTTCCTATGTGGCGATTCTGTCATGTAATTTTTCAAACGTAAGAGGATTGACTCTAAGTTTGTTGGATGTAGAAGAGTCTTGCTAGACCACCGGAGGAAAATTTGGATACAAATCTGGAAAAAGCATTAAAACATAAAAATCAATGTCCTGACCCCAAAATAAACCAGGATTATTGTACCAATGGATTTCCTTGATTTCATGACGGAAGGAACCAAACATGGAGAAGTTCCTATTCACAACGAAAAAGTTTATATATAGTCTAGTTTTAATACCCGAGTAATTTCGAACTTAAGCGTAAATTTGTTACGCATACAGGCAAAAAAGTGGTGAGGTATTACACAACAAATAGTTATTCTTGTTCGTTCAATAGTTATCTCGCCCCCAAAAAAGTATGTAATTTTTAGTGATATTTATTTGGTCGTGGAGAACAGAAAGTTGAATTTTCGTCACAGAAAAGTAAAAACAGTACATGACGTATGGTGGAAAAGTATAAAGTGCACACAAAAGCTACATTTATGTCGAGAAGCAAAACAATGGGCCATCTCATCATTTGCTCAATGGACCGGGGAAACTACAAAAAACCTGATCGAGATGGCAGTTATTGACTCAGAAGCTCAAGAACATTTCTTATAACACGAATGTTTAGGACTTAAAATTATACAGTATAAATGTTATGTAACGCGTTATAAAAATATAAATGCACTGTTAAAAATATTTTTCTTCATAATGGCCAATATAGTCTAATTCTTTAAAACGTCAATACAGTAACATACAAGCTCCCGATTGGATGAAACCGTCAAGAGCCAATTTACTTCAAACGCAGCTCTAAATAAATCCTACTATAACGTAGGATGTAGATTTTTTGTAGTGAGTAGTTGATACTGACACCTGATGAATACGACACCTATGATTCTACAAATATGATTTCTACGATGCGGTGTAATTATAATACTGTATTCCATAAAAATAAATTCCCACTCTTAATTAAATCAGTCTTGTCAAAAACTACAAATTCGTAAATAAACAAACCGTGCAAACGGTAAGATACCAAGCTCAATGAAGAGAGGGTTGCAGGAATCACGTTGATGGCATTTTCTTATTATTCTTACAATTATTTCTGCAACCTAAAAGTCTGAATACTATAAGATATTCTTCCCAAAAATATTGTGCCTTATCTCAGATGGGAACATACACGCAACGAGCTTGGCGAAGACTGACTGAATATGAATGCATAACATAATAAACTTAAGTTAGTATTCAATTCGTTTATATGGATATTTCATTCGAGGTTTGACTGAATTGAGAGGCCCAGAAATTTTGTTACTTTCACATCAAACAAACTGCATATTGTTCATTTTCAATGGCGTATGTGATTACCAGTTTGAAATGCAAAACCGCGTTTAAATGGTTTTTGGTGTGTTTACTATTAATTTGTTATTACGAAACCGATTTGAACCATCAGAAATCGTATCCAATCTAGGTTATCCATTCTACGAGAATACCACGAATTCCATACGAAAGTAATATTGAAACCAAGAAGTTTTGATCAACAACGACAAACGCTTTCGAAAGATTTAAACATATTCCAATAGGTGATTCATTTTGGTCCACTGATGAAGCAATTTTTGTTTCAAAAGAAAATATGGCAATTGTCGTAGATTTTGATTTTCTAAAACAGTGTTATGGGTCTGAAAATGCTTTATTTTTCCTGAGAAAAGTTTCCATTCGCCTGCACAAAAGCTTCTCTAATATTTTTAAAAAAAAACTGACAAAAGAGAAAGAACTGAAAATTGATAATTTCATATTTGTTGCCATTTTTAAAAAGAGGCTGAATACTTCCTTTTTTGAAAATACATGGAAATATTGCCGTGCATAAAGAAGTTTGGAATATGTAAGAGAACGGGTGTATAAATGCAGGCGCGCAAGTGTTAGTAAGTCTCGGTTCGTTTCATCCACATCATCAGATAGTACAGCTGAACTTCTCGAATTCGAATTATTACATACCTTCTCGCTTCATCCCCGATAAATAATTTCGGGGCTCATGCTAATGTGGATCGGTATTAAAGCAACCCAAGATAAGAAACACAAGATTCAATATTTAAATTGAAAGATAACACCACCGTAATCATAATTCATTTTCACATCGTAAATCAACACGGACAATCTTGATATCCAGCTACATGCGCTATCAACCAAGAGATACACGATGCGGAATCGCAGGTGTCGTATTACGTGCAGTGTGTGGGGTATCTGGCTGCCGAGCGTTTTGACAGGGCCACTCCAACAATTTTTATTACCGTGGGTTCTACGCTTCAGGGGTCTCATTTTATTTATTTATTATGAACTAGATTAGTGCGGCGTCTCCCATGGTTCAGTTTTAAAATATATATATTAATGTTTATTGATTTGATTAGAACAGTTTCTAATCAACCGAGACGCGTCAAATAGCAACTCGTTTGTCTCAAACGGTAGACCAAAAATGGCTATATGAATGGGTGAAAACCAGAACGGTACAAGTGACATTTTATAAATTCTGAGAAAAACATGTTTATTTTAGGCTATATTTCAGTGGCAATGTATTTTCGTGGTTATAATGAACAACTGAAATCGTGTTTTTAATGGTGAAACGAAGCACCACGACTTTACAGTGATAGCGACTTAAAAAGATTTCCCAGAATTTATAAAAAGTCGCCGTTCTAGTTTTCACACATTCATATAATCATTTATTCCTGTGCTTCACCTACCCTACGATTCGATCGATCAGTATCTGATAGTAGATAACATGCTATCTAGTATCGTGCTGGAGAACTCAGAACATATTTAG